AACTGCAGTTTGGGCGCCCCGTAATCAACCATAGATGTGTGATTTGAGATGATGGAGCTGAGGGAGGCGATGGGGGAGGGGATATTGGGAGTTGCATTATCTCTCTTTAATCAGGGTGAACTAGCTTTGGAAATCATCATGGGAAGCAAAGAGGACTATTTGATTAAAAAGCATCCTTGTTGCACTACAAGAGTCTCTTGTCATTTACTTATTTCTTTATTTTAGAAAGGGGCCCACGTCAGTCACCTTTAATCAGTGTCAAAAGTTGTCGTCTTAGCTAATCACAGAATATAAATGAGTAAATATAAACATTACAATACAGGCAAGTTGATTATGAATTTGCGGCAAACCAGCGAGTCTTTGCTGTGATGACAGTCGGCAATAGGGAGACCTATTCAGTGTCTGAAGAGGAGGCCAACTGAGCACCTAGGTAGCAGTTGTCCATGTTGACCTAAGCATTGCCTTCTGTATCTTCTAACTTTCCTGTGAAGTAGACCATTCTCTCAATTATTTTTATACGTGATCTCTTGGTAATCTCTGGTTCAGATGAGACATGAATTTCCATCTGACTTTCTCAACTTTGTGATAAAGCAGTGTTTTGGGGCAGCATGACGTCTGTTCATCTAATAAAAAGTCTGAAGTCTATCCAGTGCCCGAAGGACATTGCTAAAATATAAATTGTCAGCCCTTTTTCATTTCTCCAGCTCTGTAAAGCGGTGGGACATTTCTCCTGAAATCTGCTGCAGGGCTTATGAAATGCATTTGTTATTTTTTTAGTTCTGAACAAATGTTCTAAAATCATGGCTGACGCAATCCCAACCCATAAAGCACACAGCTGCTCTAGGACAGACAGGGTTAATGATGTCCTTGGAAAGAAGCCTTTACCTCGTAGAGAGTTCTGTGTTTAGAAGCCTTGGATTTTAGTCCATGACGTTCAGCCATGTCAGTTTAGAAAAATGAAAGAAAAACTGCATACTGAGCTCCAGTCTTTCACCTCCCAAAGCAGAAAAGCACAAAGGATCCTGATGAGGCTACTTAACCAAAACTGGGGAAAAAAGTCCATCAATATTTCCCACCATTCCCCTTTTTCCTCTCACTTCTTTATTGTTGGAGGAGTTTGTTTTATCAGCACCTTGCAGCCAGAGTGAAGAGAACTCTGCCCAATACACAGTCATATAATAGTATCTTTCACCAACAGCCTGACAGCTAACATTCTTAGCTTAGGGGAAAAAATACACGATGCACCAAGAATTATCAAACATAGTCTGTGAAAGATGACTAGGCTAAAATGCCAACATCAGCAGCAGAAGACCTCACACAGCCTCTAAATAAAAACAAATTGCTTATTTTTCTACATCCAGTGTCATTTCAATTTTTTTCTCTTTCCCTGAAATATTTCCCCCATTATTAGAATGTTCTTACTGATGCCTGTATACCAATAGTCCAATGTTCACTATATATGTTGCTGTTTGTTGCAGATATTGTCAGTTGGATAAATTAAGCTACACCTTTTCTGTAAAAAAAAAAGTATTTCTCACAATGAAATAAAAATCTAAATTGTGGAGAATTGTGTACTGTATACACACATGAATTTACTCTTTTGGCTCTACCATATCCTGGTATCTACCACACCATCTTCTACTGTAACTCTTAACATTGAAATAAATCCATAAATGTTTTTTACTGGGGGTAATTTTTTTCATTCATCCATTATGAGAGAGATGCTTGTTCTTGGTAAACATTGTGGCAGCCCAGAACCTATCCCAGAAACAGATATGCCCAGCAGTACTGCGCCATGTACAGGCCACCAGTCCATCACAGGGTACATACAAGCATTGGGACTACTTTATCTAGTCTGCATGTCTTTGGATGTTGGGAAGCAGCCAAAGCATACGAATAAAATGCAAACTTCACACAAAAGACATGTCGATTTGTAATCAGACCAAACACCTGTAGCAGTAGCTACACCGGCCACATCACTGTGTTGCCCTATTTTTTATTTTTGCTAAATTATCCTTCATCCTTCCTCCATTTGTGCTCGTCAAGGTGCATTTGTCAGTTATCTTTTAAGCTAGCTCAGAAGTACAAACCCTTAAATTATCTCAGGAGAGATGATGACATTCACCAGAATTGTGAAGTCATGTGCATTTTTATTGTGCTAAGAGCTGACAAAGGTTTCAGTGCAAGCACGTTGTGCCTGTTCATGCTTGGAGATGATGATTCCTCAGCCACTTTCTCCTTTCCCAAGAGTGGTAGCACTTGGCCAGTTCTGCACCTTTTCCTAGGAGCTCCTTACCACATTTGACTAGTGGCATAACCTGGATTTGAACCAGCAATCTCCAGGCTACCTGGCACATTCTTCATTCTGAGTAAAACCTTTAATTCAATAAGCCTCTTGGGAACCCTGTTAAATTGTTTTTTAACACCTACCTCTCATCACGGGTTTGTGTGAAAATATCTCCACTGTAATACAGCCACAGCCATTCAAATTTACACAAATAATGAGAAGTTCATATATTAATTGCAGGCGCTGAATCTTCAAATCCCTGAGCAATAAGAACAGAAGCTGTTTCTTCTGTTGAAGCATGCTATTACAAGACGCAGCAACTACATCCATAATTTCAACCTCTCAATCACATAGTCCTGAGTAATCATAAAATGAAGTGTCATTGTAGTGTGGCATTATTAATTTTGTCTAAAAGCACAGAGGCTTAATTGTATTTAGAATTTATGATCTAATTGTTCTAACACTATGCAAATGGAAGTGCAAGGAAAGATCAAAGCTAAGTAATATTTTTTAAAGAAGTATTTAGTGCTGTTTAAGACTTAGATTTGGAATTGATGTGCACAAGATTCTAGTGTGACAAAGCCTGTAGAATGTGTTGTGCTTTCTCAGCTATTCTCCAGATGGAATGATTATGGTCAAGTGATTCCTTAGCCTCTGGTCTTCAGGCTATATAGGCGTGCTAGGATGCATAGAAACCTTTCAAGGTGAATTGGTGGTGAAAAACTCAAGAGCAGCATACTGGTTTGACCCCCTCGTGCCGGAGTAGGATATTGTCCTGCCGAAGCAAAAAGTGTTCCGGTGTCTGAAACGTTCTGTGTATTCTCTGTCCCTTTGTTAAAGATCTTGAGATTCGACAAAGGTGTATTTACTGATAGCATGTATGCATGCTCATTGATCGAGAATCATCTTTGAGTGTCCTGTGTTCCAACCAGAAATGTACTGCTCTTTCTCTAAAATAAGAGAGAAGCATGGAGAAGGAACAGCTGTTTTCTGTTGTCACTGTGGAGAGAAATGGTGAAAGTAATTGCGTTGGTCCAGAGCCTGAGAAATCCCATCAGCCATGGGCTGTTCTGTCAGAAAGTATAAAAACCGCACTAAAAACTTAACTCACCGAAGACAAGCTGACGAGCACAAGTGCAGAAAATGACTTACAACGGCTTGGGAAGACAGTAAGATTATTTATCAAGGGAAGCAGATGAAACAGCTGTAAAAGATGTTGCAAGCCTGGGAGAGATGAAGACTGAAGTCCTACCATAGTGCGTTTCTATTACAAAGATCTCTAGTGATAAATGTAAGTGATGTTGATAAATACCCACACCACCATTTATCATCAACTGCCTCTCCAATGCACAGCTTCTGATCGTCCCAAAGAGATAACCTTCTACAGTACCAATGGGAAGAGTGGCTGTTCTGCTCCTGCTGCCATGTTTCCTCCTGTCATGCAAATAGCCTTTACTACTCATGCAAATGCATGGCACTGGTTGAAGTGTGCAGTCACTAGCCACCAGCTTTACAGCCTGTTGCCAAGTGTGTGAGCTGCTGAGGGCAGTGTGCACCTGAAATGCAGGTGTTTGCACAGAAAAGATATGCAAAAGTAGACAGCTAATATTGTAAGTGAAAGGAAAAGGAGATAACTGGTTGTTTTGCTGTTATTAATAATCTGTGCATTATTCAGTATGTTGAAAAGGAAGGAAAATGTTTAGTTTATTGAAAATGATGTAGGCAGATGTTAAATACCCACCTCATGGTTGAAATGTAGAGTGATAATTGTACCCTTAAATTAGGTCATTGCGCTGTTATATTTTTTTGTTAGTTATAAGCCCTTTTTTGAAATTATCAATTTGAGATTTGTCTTAATCAGTTGAAGTTGTTGATCTTGTTGGTAGTGTCTAGAAAGATACAAAGATGAGAATTTGCTGATATTTTGAGGGTATGTGTGAAATACCTGTATTTTAATGCAATAAAACTAGAACCCTAAACAGAACAACATGAATTTTTATAGCGACACTTAAATGCTTAAAGTCTTCTAGTTTTTCTAGAAGCATTGTTTCCTCACATAACTTGTTTTATGCATGTTTTTGTCAATTTTTATTTTATTACATTCATATCAAAGACCTCACATTGTTCAGCAAGTCACTGAGATAAGCTGAGTTTTGGAGATGCTTTTTCTTCTGTAAACAGTGCAAAAAAAGAAAAGAGTTAATTGAGCTGAACAGGGATATTACTTGGTACATGAGGTATTAATCCCCTTGCCTCTTGTAGAAACAGTGCTCTGGGGTCTGTAACGTCCACATTGTACACAGGTATTTGGTTTTTACATCACGCCATTAAACTACGATGCTATCTGTACTGTGAACATGTGAACAAAGATTACATTTCCTGAATCTCAGTGTAGCAAAGGGACAGGTAGTGCTACTTGTCTTTGATGTTAAAACAGGCGGAAAAGGGTTAGAGAGGTCCTCTTAACCACCTTTATTGACAAGATAAATGAAAGAACTAAAACAAAATGGCTTATAAAAATATCCTTGTTATTTAGATATTAAAATTCCTTTTGTTACTTTCAGCCCAATAACATCCTCTGTGTATGCCAAAACTACCCTTCCTACTGGTTAAAATGAATTTCTATTGTTTTGGTTTTGAACAATCTGGTTTTGATGTTTTAAATACTACCTGACTTTAAAATTTCCTTTTGTTCTTATTTCCTCTTTTCCAGATGGTCACAAGAACAAAGAAAATATTTGTAGGCGGATTATCAGCTAACACAGTAGTGGAAGATGTGAAGCAGTACTTTGAACAATTTGGGAAGGTAAGATCGCTTTTGGGAGTTATTAGCAATAATTCTGAGAGGTCTTACACCATGATTTAAATTGCTGCATCTCCAAATGAGACTGAATAGTAAAACTGATGCACACCTTTTTATTGTTCTATTTTTGTATGTTGTTTTGTGCTATTTTATGACCTCTAGTAAGTCCTCGTATTATGCTGATGTGTGTTACGTGGTTTTAGATTTGCATGCTGGTTTGTTTCTACTGAAGGAAGGTCCCGAGCTGCATGATTTTATTATTTGCAGGATCTTTCTTCGTTTAAATTCTGCAGTTTGATTTTGTTGCCTCCAAAAGCATTTTCCTGTCTTTAAGTGCTGGAAAAATTAATCTTACAGAAAAGCTGTAGTCTCCTCTAATCTCGTGGTGCCTTTCAACAGTGTTTAAGCTTTACCATGTGGGTTTTGTCTCTTATGATAAGATCCATCTCCAGCTGCATCTCTGTCCCAAGATCATGCCAGGTTCTCTTTCCCTGGGCACTCAAAGCCAAAAATGACTGGTCAGACATTCTGTGACTAGGAGCAGCAACCTCAGTGATGCATGCATTACCCAGCCCCATCCAGGAAAGTGCTAGGAAGGTGTATATTGATATCTGTAGCTTCGTAAGCATATGTAGCCGTTAAGATGGAAATTCCTGGATTGCATCATTATCGGTCTTGATTTGCCTTTTCAGGTGGCAAAAACTGTCCTCATTTAAACGACACTGAAAGATTCAGGATTTAGATTTAGTCCATTGTGTTACTCAGTAATGGGCTTTGAGGACAGGGCATTTTTGAGAAAGGGATTTTAATCTCAGTGTATCCTTGTTAAATAAAGGTTGCAATATAAAAAGAGGAAAAAGAAATGGGTACTGAGCAGCAAGTAAATATTCAGAGCTGCCTCTGTAATCATGATTGAATAGGGCTTAACACAAATTTTTCTTGATTGAATGCTTTTACGTTGATGCAGCTTGATTATATGAAGTTTCTTCAGACAGATCTCGTTTTCTGTTTCCAAGCTGGCGTTTTTTTTCCCTTAAGGCTTTTTTCAAACCCTTCTACAGAGAAAAACAAATCAGAGCCTGATTGAGTATGTTTCACTGTCATGCAAAATCAGGGCTGTACTTGGCTTAAGGTCACAGAATTTCAGTCTACTAGTCTCCCCCATCACCAGCCCAGTCCTTTATGCAACTGACAGACTTGGAGGTTTTTTTAATTTAATTTTAAAACAGAGCATACCTGCATATCTTGCAGTCCATGTTCATTATGGCTCTGCAGTCTTAACTTTCTGAAACAGAACTGTAGGATGTTGAGAACTCGGAGCCTGTTTCAGAATGACTTTGTGCACAGGCTGCCTAAGTGCAGTAGAGGCCAATTAAGCAGAAGTGAAGCAGAGGTCGTGGGTGCCCATGCTGCCTGCTGATCAGGGAGCTCAGAGAAGGATGAAACAGGTGGCGTGGCCAATAGGGTCAGAGAATCTGTCTGTTCAAGTGTCACTTTTTGCATCCGTGCAGAACACACTAAACAAGCTTTAAAAGAGAGCATTGCAAAGTGCTTTCTGTTTCAGGTTTCATGAGGCTGCAGGTATTTCTGCAAATTATACAAGCATGAAAAGCTATATTAAATATTTTCTTACTACAGTAATCTATAAAAAGTTACTCCAAATATACTTGAAAAATTCAGCACCTATGTGAAGATAGTTTAAGTGTCTACAGGTCCCAAAATCAGAAATGCTCAAAAATGCTATACTGTAGGTGTCAATCATGTAGAAAAAACTCAAGATACAGTGGGATGCTGTTCCTCAGCTTTACATCAGGAGAGAAGATTGCTTTCTTTCCCGTGAATGTTGAAGAAACAGGTGTTTCAAGACTACAGTTTAATTATCATCAAGAACTTTTTCAATTAATATTTGTCTGAAGGCGTTTGTATCCAGTTCTTGATGTCTGGCAGGTTCTAATTCTGTTTACAAGGGCAGACATTGATCCTGAATCAAATAGTGGTACTTCTCATTCCTCCCTGACACACATTAATTGAAACAGATGGAAGAGTTGTTAAGGATTGTTTTTTTCCCAAAGTTTTATTTGGTTCTCTTAAGTCATCTGCTTTCTAGTTTTTTAGGTATTCATTTTACATTCAGTCCCGTTTGCATACTCTCCGTTACACGTACTTAGTGCATCCGATTCAGCTGCTACTTCAGATTCCATTTACCACAGTTACCCAAAAGTGTGATTTTCATCACCAGAACAGAACTCAATCACTTTGAACCACTTAATCAACTTGAACATGTTAAGTCGGCACTGAGCTTCACTGACACGCATAGCCATAGTGTCAGATTTTCTGCACACATAAAAAAACCATGCTTTTTCAGCATAAACCTTTTTATGGCTCTTGTGTGTAGTGAGCTGATTAAAGTCTTAATTGTATTGATAAACTACAAGGGCACCCATCTCTGTTATTGTACAATGAAGACCATCAACCTTTTCATGTTACATTTTTATTATTTTATTTGTCCATTAAGTAATTGCACTTGTGTAGCATTTTTCATCACCAAGGACCCTAAATATACAGGAGGGGAGACACTTTATTTGCCACTTAAATGCAGAAAACCACCTGGTTGATGTGCAGCAGCTATGAACCAGCAGTCCTAATACAGAGCTGATCAGATGAAGAAGTGATAAAATTGCTACAGCAATTGAATTAAGGGAGAACTTTAGGGAGGCCAGACTGTACAAGCCCAGTGTGGAATTTAGCCAGGTTCAACATTCTCAGTCTCTTGAATTCAGCCATGGGACCTTTAATGGCCTCCTACAGCATAGTGTCCCCAGTCACTGTACTGGGGAATTGGTTTGGAATTTGTGGTCCAGAATGAAGATTGCCATCAACTCCACTTAGACAAGTCACCTACTTTTACTTGCAGTCCTCCCATCATAGTACAGATCAGGCTCTACTCCATTTATTTTCTGACAATTGACGAGATCAGACTAGAAGGTGGTGATGGTGACATCAAAGCTGTTTAAGGGACAGCACTGAGTTTAATTTAAATATTAATAGAGGAGTTTTTAGTTTTACATGTCATTCAATTCTTTTTAAAATTATTGTCAAGAAATGACTGAGAAACTGTTATTTTTTTAGTACTTAATGCTATACAAATATCAAACAGTGCAAGGGTGCGATCGGATGGCGTGATGACGTCTGCATTGTGAAACGGTTTAAAATCCTTAGTTTTCAGGTTCCAGAACCATGCCCACCATCCATGAAAATGATCCAAATCTAAAAATGTTGACCCTACCTTTTTGGCAAAGAGAGGTCTTAAAAATGTTTTTAACACATCTCCGGTTTCCCACTTATTAAAATGTGAAGTTTCATTTTAAACTGACATGAAGAGTCAAGATGACTGCCACAACAACAAAAACTTCTCCATCTGTAATAAATGTGGTGAACAGCCTAATTAGTTGGGAAGGCTTATGCTTAGTCATTGGTTTATTGTAATCTGCTTTGAGTGGGTCTCAAAACAAAGTGCTCTTATTTGGATAAGCTGAAACAACTCCTGCTCTTTGTTCCCCCATCCTTTCTTTCATTAGGGTCTAGGCCTTTATTGCACCGCTGTAACCAGGGTTTAGTTTCATTAGGCCTGCAAGTTGTTTCCAAGCCAATAGGCAGCTACAATCAGTCCTTTATACCTCGCCTGCCCTGGTTCCCATGTCCCACTGGGTGGGAGCCAGCTACTGTTGTTCCTGGAGGACTTTTAACCTCTTCAGCACCATTCAGCCTTTGTCAGGCAACTTTCAGTTGCCTGACCACAGAAGATGAAAGCACACTGCCAGCGTCGCCAACATTAACACTTGTTTGACTGCTGGTCCTTCTGCTTTCTTGTTCTTTGTTAACCTGCGTTAACTGTCTTGGTTGACAATAAACATAAAGCAAATAAACATTTTTTTATCACTTAGGACCACTTAGTCCACTATCATTTCCCAAAAGCTTATTCATGTGTTATGTTTGAGGGTTTTTCTTTTTCTAAAATATGCTCATTTTTAAACTAAGCATGACAACAGTTGCAAGCATCAGGAACCTGTTCATCCCACCTTGTTTTGTTAGTAGCTAATTGATCTAAGGATCTTATTTAGATGGTGGAAAGAAGTCAGGGTGTTGGCTGCAACAGGAGTAGTGTGTTCTATACTCCACAGACCCAGCTTTATTCTGTAAAAACGACTCATGGTAACATGAAGTCCTGCACCAGGCAATTTGTTCCTGCTTATTAATTTACCATACCTTGTGGAGTGCTGATATTTAATGAAATTGTTATTGCAGGTGTTGCATATAAAAACCACATAAATGTCTGTTAGCATTTTGCTCAAGCCTTCCTGTGCCACTGGACATTAAGTAAGATTTGAATATGTCTTTTAAAGTATAATATAAACTTTGAGGTGGTCTTTTTAATTCAAGAATGGTGTTGAATTAGTTCTGGGCTATCAGAATTTAGCCAAGCCTGGAAATTAAATAAATTTGAAAATATGAATGCTTTACATTAAGAGAATTGCTAAACATGATTTTTTTTTTAATTGGAGTCATATGATTCTGGAGAAAGTGTTTTGGTTTGTGTATTACAGAATGATCTTTACACCAAATCATAATTGATCAGTTATAATTTGGCTAATTAGTTTATTGGTTTTCATAGTTAAGCTGCAGTTCAGCCATTATACCCCCCAGCCTGCCCCCCCCCATGCTTTACTGTTTTTATTAATCAGACAAGCTACAAGGTGCTAAGAAAGGGTTAATCTTGAAGAAGGCTGAAGCACACAATCCTTTTAACATGCCTCTTAGTTCTCCCCACTGGTTCGGGAAAACGGAATTAGATAAGACATGGGAGGGGGTAGAAAAAAGGTGAAGCCATTCTTTCATCCTTTTGAGTCCGCAGGATTAGTTATGTGAAGATGTTTTTTGAAAGTGATGTTCGTGCAAGTAAACTGTATTGGTTTCAATGGGGTTTTGAAACCACTCAAAATTGT